TTATCCAGATGCAATTAATTCTTGCATGTAAAACACACACGCGTCAGTGCATTCCTTTATTTTTTATCCATTCCCCATTCATGTGGGGGATTGTTGGGATTTTAAGCTTGTTTAGCTTAACGAGGGTGAATGAGAAATGGAGGAAAAATAAAATATTTGAGTTTCCCTCCTTGGCAAAGGGACATTGTCCCATATTGGAGGAAGAAAAGACTTTTGATGGGTATATATATAATTGCTCTTCTTCTAGCTCTTAAAGAGTTAAGAAGAAGGCAAGCCTCGCGCCGTCGTCGCTCGCTCGGCTCGGCTTCGGCTTCGGATTTGGTCAAAGATCGATTGATTGATTAATCTTTTTGGACAAAATTCCTTTCAATTATTTAATTAATTTATTAAATAATTAACGAAAAATTCAATCCGGAATAACCCATGACCCGCGACCCGGTCCGATCAGGCCCATTTTCTTTCCCAGATTATTTTAAATCTATTTTTCCGCAATATTTCAAACAACCCTGTTCCAACAGCCATGGTTGTTTCTGAAAGGTTGCAAACCTTTTTAGAAATAATGCCAGCAACTCTATAAATAGAGTTTGAATCCCAGAATCTTTCCTTACGAAATTTTCTGAGCTTCTTCTTCTTCTTCTGCATAAAAATTCAGTGTGTTTTACAACCTTCGAGTGGCTCGCTGTTCACCGGCGTTTTGGTACCAACACTCCGATGAGTTAAATCGTTCTATCCTGGGAGGATATATTCCAGCACCTCAGGTACTTGAGGGGAATAATTTCCTTAAGGACACACTGTGTATTCAGTGAGCTCGATTTATTCCTATACTGTTTTTCCAGAATTTATTTCGTAAACAAGTATTACTAACTTTTTATTTTGTTTATATATTTCAGAAAGTTTAATTGTTTATTACAGCAATACAGAGCAATAACAACGTGATCCTGGACGAAACTTCTATTGTCTCGGAACCGGTATGTTATATATTTAAATTGTATGAACAAGTATAAAGCGCTTTTGAATTTGGGCAGCTTGAAGCATGAGGACAAAGAGCCACAATTTAGTATGTATCGAAATTGATTGATCTGGCCATTTCATATTTTCAGTATTATCACGTGTACAAGGAACTACTTAGTATATAATACCATATACCTATTCTATTTTCTTTCTTCCTTTTATTTATACTATTATTTCAGTATCATCATGGAGCAGGTTATAAATTTTTTTATGATCTTCGCATATTTGATTTTTTTCTAATTCGTACACTTTTTTATGCTTGTTAGGGAAAAGGATTTGTCTCTCTGCCTAATGGTATATTTAAAGATATTGTTTGTCTTCATTTATAAATGCCAACTTCTTGCAAGTCTATTTTCATTTTGTAAACCGGTGACGATAATTAACGGCAAATTGTCAAAAAAGAATCTTTATTATACAGGTTATTCAGAGAACATTAATGTACAACATTCTTATTGCTATATGAAAGACGGTATTTACTGTACAGTCTACACCACTCTTTAATTCTCGTTTTTTGTTATATATACACGCATTTTCCTATTCTCTGTAACCAAAAAAGAGGTCCAAACACGGAAATGAGAGCCCTTTTTTGTGATTGTGATTGATAACATTCCATAAATTAACATTACTACTTTCCTTAAAACTTTCTTTGGCTGAGATAGAAAAGCGGAATTACCTCAAATACAAATTTCATTTCCCATATATAGTATTCGTATTCGGAGCAAGAAAATATCCATCAATTGCAGTCATTATATTTGAGTTTGTGAGAGGAACATAAAGAGTTCCTTTCAACTCCAAAAAAGAGAAAAAAAAAACAAAAATATGGGAGCTTGTGCTAGTGCACCGAAGGACTTGAAGGCTGAGGCCAAGGCAGCCCCTCTACCGGAGCAACCAAAGGAGGAGGAAACCACCGCCGCCGCCGCCGGCAGCCCGGAGGTGACAACCGTTGACAAGGAGGTGAACGGAGAAGATGAAGAAAAGAAGGTGGAAGATGGTGATGTTGCTAAGCCAAAGGAGGATGAGAAGGTGGCCGGGGATATTAACAAATCCAATTCTCTTGGGTCGTTGCTTGATGAGGTATATCATTATTTTTCTTTTTTATGATAATGATTTTTGAATATAACCCTATTTTTAAGGTAATGGTTATGTATTTAGTATGATAGAAGTCATTTTCTTTTTAACAAAAAGATATGACGAAGTCAATTTTTTAATAATTATATATGTAATGTGTAGCTTTATATTACTTTCTTCAACTATCAGTTAGATATCATTATTAATTTTTAGTACTAATAAATTTCCTCAACACTCTGATAGCTGATTATTAATGTTTAAATATTTTTTTAAGAAATATTTTTCGTTCAACAATCAAACACAAAAAAATATTTTCAAATGAAAAATAATTTTTATTTAATATCGGAAACAACCTTTCTGCCTTCACAAGGTAAAGGCAGGATTGTACGTACATACTATCTTTCCCAGACTCCACTCGTGAGATTATACTGTGGGGTCGAAAAATAACTTCCATCTTACCAAATACTGATACATAAAAAAAACATAAAACTTTCTTGAACGTAACTGATCTCTGAATCCGAAAGGACTACAACACAAGAGGATGTATAGAATGTACAGTAGCTTATAATATTTCATAGTTTGGAGTATACGGTTTTGAAAATACTTTGAAAATGAATGGCACAGACCGAAGTAGAAAAGGAGTCAGTTAAAGATGAGAAAAGCTCGGAAACCACAGAGAAAAAACCAGAAGAAGCAAAGGTGGAGGAACTTCCAGCATCAGATGCCAACAAAGACACTGATGCTCAACAACCAGCTGCTGCAGAAGAGGTTGAAAAGAAATCAACATAGAGTTTAATCCAAGACATGGTCTCAAGAGAGCTTCAAATTAAATGATAAATGCATATGCTTTTTTGTTGGTTACTTGAGGGTCAAGGAAAAATTGTGTAGCAAAATATATTTGATTGGAACATATAGGGACTTGCATGGGTTCTAATGGTGGATATATATATATATATATATATATATATATTGTTTTTGAAGTATCTATAGTTTACTTGGCTATTTCATGTTATTATATTTCTCTTGATCTTTCTTTTAAATTCTTTTGATATTGTTACAACCTCTCTGCTTTCTTAAGGTGGGTAAGATTGCGTACACACTATCTTCCCCACACCTCACATGTGAGATTTTACTGAGTTTGTTGTTGTTGTTATCAATATTCACACACCCTGCATGTTAGGATCGAGAATCCGGGTAGTGCGGAATTTAGCCAAACAACGGTATAATGATAATAACAAAGACAATGGAAGTTGATAACAACGACAATTAAAGTAGATAAAGAAGACACAAATTTAACGTGGTTCGGTCAAAGTGACCTACGTCCACAAGCGGAGAGGAGCAATTTACTATAACAATAAGAGTACAAAAGAGAGTACAAAATTAGAGTAAACACTCCAATTAATCCCAAATACCCTAAGAGAATAACCTCACAAGATTACTGCAAAGAACGGGTTCACACAAGTGCTTCCCAACACTAACTCTCATACAAAACACTCTTAATAAAGGAAGAAAGGAAGAAACAAGAATTGAAGACAAGTCTGTTGGTGTATCTAAAATGAACTAATGGCCTTCCCTTTTATAAGCAAAAAAGTCTTGGCCTCTTAGGTGTAAAAAAAAGAGATACAACTTGTGCAAATGATGTCCAACACACAATGCAATATTTTTGGGTCCCAAAGAATATTGTCAACAAAGTTTACACGTTGCAAAAATGCTTATACTCATGTGATATGGACTCCATTAGCCAAAATAATGGCCATATTACAAATCTCCACCTTGGCCTAATTTTGGATGATATAGTAAATTTTCTCCACCTTCTCCGCAAAATCCCCAATGGGCATATGTTAAAATTTAATGCCATCAAAATCAGATAAGTTATCTGATACCGAAACTGTAGTAGGGCCTATAATAATAGAGCCCAATAAAGTATACAACGAACCAGATCTGTGTGCTTTCATGATCACAAGAGCATCTTGAAAAACTTTTAAAACTCCAACTTCACTAGTGAATTTGCACCCAAGGGATTCTAAAGTGCCCAAAGATATGAGATTTTTCTTCAACTTAGGAACATATCTAACATCGGTGAGAGTTCTCACCACATCATCATGCATTCTGACCTGAATTGTACCTTTGCCAATAACGTTATAAATAACATTATTACCAGTTGAACAACTCCACCTCCAACTGAATCATATGTAGAAAACAAGTCCCTGCTAGGACACATATGATATGAACAACCGGAATCTAAAATTCACTCATTGTCTAATCTGAAACTAGTTTCAGTTGCTAAAAATATAGTTCCCTCAATCTCATCAGTTGCTACACTAGCTTCGACGGTGTGAGTATTTTTGTGCTCATTTTTTCTTTCTTTATGATTTTCTTTATTTTTCAGTTTATAGCATTCAGAGATAATGTGACCTTTTTTATGACAATAACGACACTTTAAATTATTGTATCTGGATATGAAGTTGGATTTTCCCCTAACAAATAAGCCAACTTCCACTTGAGTTCCACTAGCTTCCCCAGTAATGTCACTATCTATTTGTTCTTTTGATTTTAAGATAGATTTAATATCCTTATAAGAGATATTATCCTTTGCATAAAGCATAGTATCTCTTATATGCTTAAAAGATGGGGGTAGAGAACAAAGCAGTAACACGGCTTGATCCTCATCTTTAATTTCAGTATCTATATTACTCAAATCCATAAGAATGGAATCAAAGATGTCAAGATGAGAGAGAATAGAGGTACCTTCACCCATACGAATTGTATAAAACTTCACGTAAAATCTCATTTGAGAGATTTAAAATGATACATGCTTTTGCCATTTTGTCTAAGACGGCAAACTCCTCATCCGTCATTTTATCCGGCTTCTTCTCCTTTCCTTGCAACGCCAAGTCTAAGCCATCCTGAATTAGAATAACTTCCATCTTTAATTGCTATATTCCGAAATTTGTACTTCGGTCAAATTTCTCAACATAGGTCTTTGTTAGAGTCATTTTGGCTATTGAAACTAACCGGGTTAGATCCGGCTCTGATACCAATTTGTTAGGATCGGGAACTCGGGTAGTGCAAAATTTAGCCATACAACGGTATAATGACAATAACAAAGACAATGGAAGTTGATAACAACGACAATTAAAGTAGATAAAGAAGACACAAATTTAACGTGGTTCGGTCAAAGTGACCTACGTCCACAAGCGGAGAGGAGCAATTTACTATAACAATAAGAGTACAAAAGAGAGTACAAAATTAGAGTAAACACTCCAATTAATCCCAAATACCCTAAGAGAATAACCTCACAAGATTACTGCAAAGAACGGGTTCACACAAGTGCTTCCCAACACTAACTCTCATACAAAACACTCTTAATAAAGGAAGAAAGGAAGAAACAAGAATTGAAGACAAGTCTGTTGGTGTGTCTAAAATGAACTAATGGCCTTCCCTTTTATAAGCAAAAAAGTCTTGGCCTCTTAGGTGTAAAAAAAAGAGATACAACTTGTGCAAATGATGTCCAACACACAATGCAATATTTTTGGATCCCAAAGAATATTGCCAACAAAGTTTACACTTTGCAAAAATGCTTATACTCATGTGATATGGACTCCATTAGCCAAAATAATGGCCATATTACACTGCATTTTCAATTTCTAGTGAGCAAATTTAAGAAAAGATTTGGTTACAATGATAAAGGTCATAGAGTTCTGGCCAGCTCTAGCTACATCATGACCAGTAATGTTTTAGGACAGAAATGCATAGTTCCAAGCAAGCATCACACAACATACAAGAATGAATAAGCACCATGTTGTAAGATTTTAAAAATTAACCACATCAGAAGAACAACCACTAGTTTAGATGCTAGCACCAGTCAAAGTTATAGGAACCGAAGGCAATTTTTTTCTTTTCTTTTGGCAAGTATACCAAAGGTAATATTGCAACATGGCTATAATTGAGATTAAGCTAGGTACAACATAGGTGCATCGTGATAATGGCTGTGCTAATTCAACCAGCCTTTTACAACTTCGCAGGGGGTAAGGAGTTGCCAATTAAAGCATTTATATAGGTAAAAGCAAGAAACAAAGTGAAAGTTATCAAACATGTTAGGATCGGTAAACCTAGTAGTGCGAAATTTAGCCAAACAATGTTATAATGACAATAACAAAGACAATGCAAGTTGATAATAACGACAATTAAAGAAGATAAAGAAGATACAAATTTAACGTGGTTCGGTCAAGGTGACCTACGTCCACAAGCGGATAGGAGCAATTTCATTATACCAACAAGAGTACAAAAGAGAGTACAAAATTAGAGTAAATACTCTAATTAGTCCCAAATAACCCAAGAGAATAACCTCACAAGATCACTCCAAAAAAAGGGTTCACACAAGTGTTTCCCAACACTCATTCTCTTACAAAATATTCTATAATGAAATAAAGGAGGAGAAAGAAAGACAAGAGTGAAAAGCTCTTGAATTAGTATGCAAATGAGGAGAAACTCCTCTATTTATAGCAAGATATCCTTGGCCTAATAGTGGATATTATGTCATGGTAAATATCACGATCCACAAATTTTGTTATAGTGAATATTATGTCATGATATTTGGCCCACACTTGAGAAGAAGCCAAATCAATGGCCATATTACAAAACACATTATAAATAAAGTAGTCCAAATAAGTGCCAACAAGGTTATGCTTCAGTCATAAGGCTGAACAAGAAGAGATTAGAAGTTCGTACTTCCTACATTGAAAAAAAGCAAACAAAAACAAGAGAAAATACATGTCCAAAGTTTAACAGAGGGTGCTTTAAGAACGAGTAGTACAGACCACATATACTGCAACACTGATACATGATTCAGTCAAAAGGGTGCATTCCACTGCGCTTGAGTTCAAGCACCAACTGCTGATTCTCAAGCTTGATAACCTCATTATCCAAGCATCATCTTTTGTAGCTCCTTGTTTTCTTTACTGCAGAATCTCGTGCTTGAACCTCTTCTTCTCCAATTCCAGAATTTGAGCCTGAATTTTGTTCTTTCAACAGTAGTAAGCGAGGGAGACTATGCTCGTCCTGTATTTCTCTCTCCTCATTGTTCATAGAAGCGTGAATCTCATTGTTATAAGGATGAAGCACATTTGGATCTAATGTAGTGGTACCATTCAGAGATGAATGGGCCATATTCAGTTCTCTTTCTTCTCCTCCTACTTTCCTCTTCGCAGGCATATCCTGCACCAAATTAGGATATGCTGTACTGGTACAATTCAGAGATGCACAAGTCATATTTGAAACTCTTTCTTCTCCACCTGTCTTCCTCTTCAAAGGCAAATCCTGCAACACGTTTTCGGTTTCACACTTGTCTCTACCCTTTACAGCCAACAGCACAGATTGCTGAACTTCCTGATCATGGGGAAGGAATAATCTATTCTGATTGTTGTATGAGCACATTTCTTGGTAGAACAACTGTTTGCTACCTAAAAGCTTCTTCATTTCCTCTTTCAAATCATCAGATAGGTCCATCATTTCTAGAAGTGCTGGGTTCTCCACGACATGACATGCAGTGCCTCTCCCAAGTACATCATTCAGTCTCTTGAACTTTTTGTTCATATCATTAAACTTATCCTCACATTGCTGAGGAGAGACTTGATGACCTCTTTCAGCCATAACACAGGAAATGGCCCTCCATTTACCCTTCTTGATGAAAACCCCATTGGACAACACTTCTTCTCCGATGTAAGAAACAGAAGTAATCAAAAGCTTAACCATCTCATCTGTCCATTTCATACGATGATATAATGGCTGCTTCTCCTCAGTATGTCCAGAGACTTCTGTTACATCATTCAAACCCTCATGATACGTTTCAGGCATCTCGATGCTATTGAGTTTGATAGCATCAAGCAACTGCATTTCTTGGTCAATGTCTTCCATGTTGCTTACACCAAAGGACATCACTTCTGGAGGATGCTGCACAAGAACCACAAGACCCTGGTTAGGGTGAT